TTAGCGCCGCGCGCCGCGCGGCCGGAAGAACGCCGGCCGCGGGGTCGAGCGAGGGCTACGCGCCCGGCGACGCGAGCGTCGTCGCCGCGGGGAGGATGATGACCGTGCAGGTGATGTCGTCGCGGTAGCCGTCCTCGTGGATCTTCCACTGCTTGATCGCGCACTTGATGACCTCCATGGAGCAGATCTCGCCGAGGTTCGGCTTGCCGCGGTGCTTGCCGTGGAGGTGGATGGAGACGATCTGGACGACGTCGTCGCTGGACAGGAACTCCCAGATGCCGTCGGACGCCAACACGACGAAGGCGTCGCCGTCCTCGAAGTCGTAGCGGACGACGTCCGGGTCCGCGGTCACGCCGACCTCCTTGACGCACTGGTCGCCGATGGACCGCGCCATGGCTAAACCCGGCCAGGTGCAGCTCTTGTCGAGCCAGACCCGGGCCGACGCGGACCACTCGGGCTGCGTGACGAAGCCGCCGGCCTTCTCTATCCTCGCCTTCTCCTCCGCCGCGTCGGGCTTGTGGTCGACCGTCAAATCCTTGGCCCGGTAGAGCGTCGGGACCTTGGACGCGGGCGGCGCCGGGCCTACCGTCTGGCCGAGGACGCAGCGCGAGTCGCCGACGTTCGCCGTTATAATAAACGTCGGCTTCATGATCGCCGCGACGAGCGTCGTGCCGGACGTCGAACTGTCGAGCCCGGGCACGTCGAACAAAACCTGGTTCGTCTCGATGAACGCGTCCTTGATCTCCTGGTAGGCGATGGAGCCCGGGTCGAAGTTGTCCAGCTTCTTGTTCGCCAGGTTCTTGACTAAAAACTTGACGACGTAGTCGCTGACCGTGTGGCCGTACTCGCCGTGGCCGTCCGCGACGATGAAGAGCGCGCGCCGCTCGTCGCTGGGCTTGCACGCGAAGGGGAAGCAGACGACGCCCCGGTCCTGGTTCTCCTTGTACTTGCCGACGTCGCTCTGGCCGTGGCAGGAGAAGGAGCCCACGAGCTTCCGGTCGAAGGGCCGCGCCTTGTTGTCCGCCAAGGGCGGGTAGGGCACGCTCTTCTTGGAGTGGGCGCGCTTGAACTCCGGGGAGATCAGGTACGTCGTCTCGGGCGACCCCTGCTCGCCCGCGGCGAGCTCGACGTCCGGCGCGGCGCCGCCGGAGCCGCCGCCGCCGGGCTTCTTCACGTTCTTGAAGCCGTCCGCGTCGAGCTTCTGGGTCATGCGGCTGCTCTTGCCGCTGGACTGCTTCTCGTTCATGGCGGCGACGACGACGTCCCAGAGCTTGGCGTCCGTCTCGCTGCTCTCCGCCAGGGCGCGCACGCGCTCGACCGCGCTCTCGTTCACGCTCACGCCCGGGGGGAGCGGGCCCAGAGCCTTGAGCACGGCCTCGTACTCCATGTCCGGGTTCTCGACGAGGAGCTTCCGCGCCGCGGCGACGAACTGCACGCCGTCGCCGCCCGCCTGCGTGCCCGCGGCGGCGCCCATGGCTACGCGACCGCCGGCGCCGGAGGGGGACCGCCGCCGCCGCCCGCAGCGGTGGGCGACAGTTGGGTCCGCGGCGCCGCGACGAGTGGGAGCGTCGGCCTCCGACCTGCGACGGCCGGCCGAGCGGCGGTCCTCCGCCTCCGCCCGCTGCTCTCCGCGCGTCGACGGGCAGCCAGGCGTGGACGGTCTCCGCGTTGCTATGTAATGAATCAATCGTTACATAGATATAATGGGGCAGCCTTGCCGTCGGCCGTCGTTTCTCGTTGACGTCCAGCGCCGAAGTTGCCCTGCACGCGACGCGCAACGTGCCGAACACACATGTGGCTGGGTTGTTTAAGATCCCGAGTCGAATGGCGTGATACGCTTTCGAGAAAATCGATGGCAAAGAGGGCTCCGCCAGTGGTGATGGGCACCTTTGGCAAGCTCTATCTCGGCGCCATGGCCACCGATTTGCAAAATTCTTGTTGCATCTGAAAGCCGGCACGGTCGTCTTGCGCGCAGAGCCAATAACTCAAAAACTTCAACAGCAACATAAACTCGGCATTCTATTCAACCCAGCCACACATTCCGAGCTCGAGCGTCTTCCGCCGGCGGCATCTGAAGATGCGCCCGCGCCGCCGGACGCCCTAGCACACCCGTCCTGCCCCGATGCCGCGGCTCCCCGACGAGCTCTGGCGGCTGATCTGCGACGCGTCCTGCGGCGACGCGGCCTGGCGCCGCCTCCACGACGGCGCCGACGGCGTCTGCGAGGCCTGGGCGCTGAGCCTCGCGTCCCGCGGGTTCCGCCGCGTCCTCGACGCGCGCGTGGAGGACGTCGAGGTCGTCGCCGCGCGCGTCGCGCGGAGCGGGGCGCCGGCGCGCGGCTGGCTCGCGCGGCGGTTCCCGAATTTGAAAACGCTGCGCTTGACGGCGGCGCCCGTGAGCTGCGCGGCGGCCTACCAGACGCCCCTCCTCGCCGCGGCGCTCGGCGCGGCGGCGCCCGACGTGGACCTGCGCCTCGCGGCGCCGTCGTTCCGCGCGGCCGCCGTGTTAGGGCCCTTCGACGACCGGCTCCGCGCGCTCGACTGCTCCGGGTCGCCGGACGTCAACGGCGCGGCCGTGCGCGCGCTCTTCGCGCTCTGCGGGCGGTTGGAGGTGTTGAAGCTGCGGCGCTGCGAGGGCCTGCGGTGCCCCGACTTCTTCACGGCGCCGGACTCGCTCGCGCGCGTCGAGCTCGACGGCTGCTGGCGGCTGCGGCTGGAGCTGCTGCCCGCGCTGGCCGTGCTCGCGGAGCAGTGCCGCTTCGAGGTCGACCTCTTCGAGCCGCTCGCCGTGGACGGGACCGTCGAGGTCGTCATCCTCCGCGGGCCCCACAAGGGCTGCTGGGTCGCGTGCTCCGTCGCCGCGGGCCCGTCGCGCGACTGGTGCTACGACGTCTACGTCCACGAGACGGAGCGCTACGACCGCGCCATCGGCTTCGCGGGCCGGCTGGCCCAGGGCGTGTCCCGCGCGCACCTCCGGACGTCTTAAGACTCGCCATCCCACGACGTGAACGCGTCCTGGACGCCGCGGACGAAGCGGGTCTGCGCGTACTGGACGACGCCCTGGCAGACGAGGTCCGCCGCGAGGCGGATGACGGGGTCCGGCGTCAGCAGCAGCGGGCCGACGAGCCGCCCGCTCGTCGTAAAATCGAAGGCGCCGCGGACGCGCGCGGGGCCGCTCGGCCGCTGGGGCCGCAGCGTGCCCTTCAGGTTGATCCTGACGTCGAGCTGGCGCTCGGGCCTATGCCGAATTCAACCACTGATTTGGGACGTCCCGACCAAACTTCGAAATTCTCGAGCTCAGCCACATCGAAGTCGATTCGGCTGATTTTTGGACGAATCGATCGCTCTCGTCGAGTTCTCGAAGCACAGGGAAAGAGTCTCAAACCGTTCGATTACGCGCATATTGAAGATTTGAGTTCCACGCAGGCTCGGGCTGGCCCGCCCAGGACGCCTTGCAGACGATGTCGCGCGACTCCAGATCGAGGCCGCCGCGATCCGTGGGCGTCACGTCGACGTCGACGTAGGTGTTGACGCGCAGCGCCGCGAAGTCGAGGGGGTCCTGCTTGAGTCTATAGCGCTCGCTGTCCGGGCCGTCGCCGCCGCCGACGCGCTCGACGTTCTCGGGCTTCCACGCAGCTCCGACGACGCGCGCGGGCGTGAGGAACGCGCCGAGCGCGGCCGCGTCGCCGCCGCCGCGCACGGCGGCGTCGAGGCTGAGCTCGGCGCCGAACTCGATGAAGTCGAGGCTGACGCGCTTGTAGCGCGTCTTCGTCGCCGCGACGGCCACGGCGCGCCGCGGCGGCGCGAGCGGCGGCGCGAGCGGCCGGCGCGTCGCGGCGAAGGCGTCGGTCGCGGAGAGGCAGTGGCACGCGAGGAGGACGTGCGACAGCAGCATGCGCGCAGACGCGGCGCGCGCCGCTGGCTGCGAGCGCAGGCTTGTCGATGCCGTCATCGCGCCTCAGCTGGATCCGCTGGCCCCGGCCGCGCGCGCCGCCGCGCTGCTCGCGCGCCGCACGGCGTCCGCGCGCCGCGTCCCCAGAGAGCCGCCGTGTTACTCGCCGGCGCTGTCCTGGGTCCTGCAGAAGGCGCGGTCGAGGTCCGGCGAGGAGCAGAAGAGGGCGGCCGCGAGCCCCACGTCGCGGTCCCCGGCGCTTTGCCCGCCGTCGCCGCGGCCCGCGGGCACGTGGCGGTTCACGAGGGCGGGCATGGGCACGGAGAAGTCCATCTGGGGCTGCATGACGGAGCCCATGGCGTCGCTGACCGCCGACGACATCTGCGCCGCAAAGTCCGGGTCGCCGTCGAGCCGCGCCTCCGCCTGGGCAGCAAAAGAGAGATTCAACGTCGCTTCAACGTGAGTGTTCCGCGCGCGCGCGTTCCGGAAACAGCATCCACGCGTCGAGAGCGCTCCGAGAGATGATCGCTCGTCCCAAAATTAGCCGAAACGAGTGGAAAACGACCGAGATAGGAGCCTTTGAAGTTGGGAATTTCGCACCCTTTTGCTGCCCTGGCCTCCGCGTCGTCGACGCACTCGCGCTTCTCCTCCTCGACCTCCGGCGGCGCCTCGGCGTCCGGGGGGGGCGTGTCGCCGACGTCCTCCGGGGGCGGCGCGAGCTCGACGGCCGCCGGCTTCTTCCGCGGCGGCGCCTTCTCGAGCGGCGGCGGCGGTTCGGGCGGCGGCTGGCATTTGCTGAGCCGGACGAGAAAAAAGGCCCAGACGAGCAGGAACAGCGCGACGCCGCCGACGACGAAGTAGAGTTGCATCTCCGCGTCGCCGTCGTCGTCGTCCTTGCTCCGCGCCGGCGTGGCGCTCGGGGCCGGGGACGCCGACGGCTGGGCCGACGGCAGGGGCGTGGGCATCCCCGTGGGGAGGCGGCTCGGGGACGCGCTCGGAGCGCCGTCACCGGCCGCGAACGCGCAGGCCCAGGCCGCGAGCGCGACGCGGACCGCGGCGGGGCAGCCGCGCCGGGCCGCCATCGGAGCGGGAACCGATGAAAATGTTTAGCTCGAAGATACGACGTTGCCCTTTTCTCCGCGCCGGGGATCCGCCGCGGCGTCTTACTCGGCCGGCCGCTTGTGCGCGAGGCCGTCGGTCCACGGGTGGAACGACGCCGTGCAGGGTGCGGCGGGGCCGAAGGCGCGCCGGCGCTGGTGGCCGCCGATGGAGACGAGCGGCCGGCAGCGCCGCGGCGCGCTGAGGACGAGCCTCGCGTGCAGCGCGGCGTCGCGCTCAGAGGCGGCCGGCTCGTCGCGCGCGGGCGCGACCGCGCTCTCGCCGAGCGGCGCGGCGTCGTCGAGCGGCGCGGCGTCGAGCGGCGGCGCGGCCCGCGCCGGCTCGCTCGCCGCGGCGGCCTCCTCCGCGGACTCCGCCTCCTCCTCGGCCTCCTCCTCGGTCGCCTCCTCGGCCTCCTCCTCGGCCTCCGGCTCCTCGGTCACCTCCGCAGACTCCGGCTCCTCGGCCTCCTCCGCGGACTCCGTCGCCGCGGCGGGCTCCGGCTCCTCGAAGCGCGGCGTCTCCGCAAAAGGCGCGCCCCCCGCCGCGGGCGCGGCCCCGGCCGCGGGCGCCGCGCGGTCCCGGCCCGGCAGCGTCGCCGCCGCCGCGGCGAGCGCGAGCGCGCCGACGGCGACCGCCAGCCAGGGCCGCCGCGGCGCCGCCGCGCGCCGCGGCGCCGGCGCGGCGTCGACGACGGCCTCGACGACCCAGTCCTCGTCGAGCGCCTCCTCGACGACCGCGTCCGGCGTCACGGGCGGCGCGGCGACGTCGGCGTCGCCGTCGGCGAGCGCCGCCGGCGGCGCGGACGCGGACCGCTTCGGGGACGGCCTATCGAAGGCGAAGCGCGGCGGCGTCGGCGCCGCGGCCGGCGTCGGCGACCGCGGCGGCCGGTGGCCCGGCGTCGGGCCGGCGTCGAAGGCCTGGTCCGCCAGGGCCCGGTCGGCGACGCGCAGGAGCTCCGCGAGCTCCGGCGCGTCCTCGGGCGCGGGCCGCTTCTCCGGCGGCGGCCGGACCGTCTCCGGCGACCGCGCGAGCGCCTCGAGGCGCCGCCCCTCGGTCCGCGCCGACTCGAGGGCCGACGCGAGGGCCGCGCGCTCGTCCTCCTGCGCCCGGAGCGCGCCGAAGATCGCCGTGTCCTGGAGGTTCTCGATCGACGGCGCCTCGCCGTACGCGAAGCTCGGCGGCGTGCTCCGGCTCGGCGCGCGCTTGGGCCGCCCGAAGGCCCGGGGCCGCGGCGCGGCGGCGCGGCGGCCGTCGTCGAGCCGCGGCACGTTGACGGCGCGCTGCGGCGCGGGCCGGTGGAGCGTGAACGTCGCGCGCGTGGGACTGTCGGGCGACCTGGGCTGGCGCCGCGCCGCGCGCGTCGCGGCGCGCGCCGCCGCGCGCTTGCTCGACGCCGGCGTCGGCGGGCTCGCCCAGTCGTCGCCGGACGTGTCGCTCACGTAGCAGAGGTCGTCGTCGGTCTCCATATGGGCGGGAAGAGGCGGGCGACGACGATGCGAAGAAGAAGCGGCGTCTGCGAGCGTTCTTCGAGGGCTTTCGACGGCGCGCCGAGGCGGAGATGCGGTGCCGCGGACCGGCGTCGTGGCGTCGTTCGGATGCGCCTAGGGGATCCGATAATATCCTACCATCATGGGCCCCCCAATTAAAAAACTTCAATAAAAAGCGTCGCTAAACATCGGGCTTGCGGCACTTATGATGTGGCATGCAATTCGCGCCCGCGTGCCCGCGCTCTCGCGTCGGACGCGGTCGTTCAGCGAGCAGAGCGACGTCTTCGACCGGGCCGCGAAGCTGAAACAGCGCGCGCGCGCGCTCGCGGCGCCCGACGCGGCGGACTTCGACTACCTGCGCGAGGCCGTCGCCGAGCGCGTCGTCGGCCGCCTGCGCGACGTCGCGCGGAGTACGCTGGCCGACGCGCTGGACCTGGGCTGCCACACGGGCCACCTGCGGCGCGCGCTCGAGGACGACGCGGGCGTCGACGGCGCCTGCGCCGCGGGGATTTCCCGTTTATCCCAAACGGACCGGTCGCCCGCGCTCGTCGCCGCGTGCGCCGCGGAGCCCGGCGACGTCCTGGAAGCCGTCTCCTGCGTCGTCGCCGACGAGGAGGCGCGCCTGCCCTTCGACGACGGGGCCTTCGACGTCGTGCTGAGCTCGCTGAACCTCAACTGGGTCAACGACCTGCCGCGCGCCTTGAGCGAGGTCCGGCGCGTGCTCCGGCCCGACGGCGTCTTCGTCGGCGCGCTGCTCGGCGCGGGCACGCTCGGCGAGCTCCAGTACGCCTTCGCGGCGGCGGAGGAGGAGCGCACGGGCGGCGTGTCGCCGCACTGCTCGCCCGCGGCGCGTTTAGCGGACTGCGGCCAGCTGCTCCAGCGCGCGGGCTTCCAGCTCATTACGGTGGACGTCGAGCGCATCCAGGTCGACTTCGCCGACGCCTTCGTGCTTTTGGATGATCTGCGGCGCATGGGCGAGCAGCACGCGCCCGCGGAGCGGGGGCCGAACGTGCTCACGCGACGCGTTCCTCGCGATGGCCGCGGCCTACGGGGCCCTGTTCGCCAACGACGACGCGGAATCCTCCGTCCAGGCGTCCTTCGAGGTCGTCTTCCTCATCGGCTGGGCGCCCCACGCGAGCCAGCCGAAGCCCGACGCGCGCGGCTCCGCGACGAAGAAGATCGGCGACCTGCCGCCGACGGCCTGGAAGCCGGGCACCGGCGGCACCTTCGAGCCGGCCTAAACATTAGCCTTGAGGATGCGGTCGTAGTGTCGCCGCGCCGCCGGGTCCTGGAGGACGGCGTAGGCCTCGTTGATGCGCGTCATGGCCGCGCCCGAGTCGCGGCGCCGGTCCGGGTGGTGCTCCTTCGCCAGAGCCCGGTAGACGCGCTTCAGGTCCTCCTGGGGCATCTCCCGGTCGACGCCGAGGGCGTCGTAGAGCGTCGGCTTTCCCGCGGCCGCGGACTCGCGGAGCGAGCGGAACGCGCCCTGCCAGTCCTCGGGCTCCGGCGGCAGCGGGTCGTGGCTCTCCTCGAGGCCCGCCGTCGCGGCGGCGGCGAAGGCGCTCATGCCGCCGCGCCGCGCGTCCGCGCGCGGCGGCAGCGTCGGCGCCGGGTCCGGCGGCGCGGCCTCGGGCGGCCGTCGCCGTTCGGACGCGCGCGGCGCGGCCGCCTTCCCGCGCCGGGGCGCGTAGGGGATGCCCTCGACCTCGCACTTGGCCTTGCGCCGCAGCTCCGCGATGTCGCGCGAGCTGTAGTCGTCGCGCCAGCGCGCGGGCTTGGACGGCTTACAGGGCTTGGGCCGTTCGACGCCGCGCTCGCGGTCCCACTCGGCGCCCGACAGCGTCCGCGTGCCGGCGTCGTCCTCGACGACGACGTCGTAGTCGCCGTCGAGGCCGTTCGGGCCCTTGAATTGGTAGCTCACGGTCGTCGTGCCCGGCTTGCGCTTCGATTCCGTGAACGTCACATTCGCGGGCGGCGGCGGCGGCGGCGCGGGCGCGGCGCGCCGCGCCTTCGGCCGGATCGGCGCGCGCGCCGTCCGCGGGTCGCGCGTGCCCTCGATGTCCTCCTTGGCGCGGCGCCGCATCTCCAGGATGTCCGCCTTGCTGTACTCGTCGCGCCAGCCGTCTTTTCCTAGGGCTACTGTTTCCCCGGCGCCGCCGCCGAGCGAGAAGCCCTCGTCGTCCTCGTCGCGGTCCCGCGCGGCGGGGGCGTAGTCCAGACACTTCCAGGACACCCAGCCCTGGCTCGGCGTCGCGAGCTGCACGCGGAGCGGCGCGCCCGCGGCCTCGCGCGCCGTCGCCTGGGGGTTGATCTCCACGACCGTGCCGCCGGCGAGCTCGGCGACGAAGGGCGAATGCTTGGAGACGCCCTGGCGCACGACGCAGCCGCTCCGGCGCACGCGCTGCTCGGTTTGAGTCGGCGGGTCCATCTCACCATCTCCGGAAGGCCTCCACCCCGATGCAATGTGGGGTGCAAGGAATGGATACCGACGAGCTCCACGGGCGAGCTCTCGCAACAGGCGGCACGATGTCGGGGCGGGCGCGGGGCGGGTCCCGGGCCTCGT